TTATTTTCCTGATTATGTAGGATTGCTTACAAAAGCAGCACAGTTCTTTAAGAGCAGATATCTTCAAAACAGCCTAAGTGACTCATTTTAAAAAGGGAAGTACCTTATGCATACTTCTTGTAAACTTGACTGGAACAATGATTCATTTTTGGTTAGCTTGGTTGTGCATGATCTGCAAACTTAGAAGACTCTGACAGTGCTTGCTTTTTTTCCTCCTGTACCTGGGTTTTAAACCATTCTGAAATGTCTGTAGATTATTCTGAAATTGCAGATTGTTATTCCATAATTAATTAATCTTGGTCGAGTTCTCTCAGAGAATCAGACAGAAGCCAATATCATTCATCTGTGGAGAACTTATAAGTGTGTTTATCAGAAAAACATGTAAGTCAATATGGAAAATATACATAGCTATTTATAGCACATGCCTTCACTGAATGGTGGTTAACACACACTTGCCCTCATTTTTCTCCTGCCCTTTTAAGCAGACAGCATCCAGGGAGGTGACTTGTCCTGCACTCTGCTTCACAAACTGGGTGAGATCAAGATGTGATGAGAATGATGGATACTTGGGATGTTGGCTTGTCTGCTGACACTCGGAAAAAAAGGCCCCAAAATTCATTCTTAGGCATTGCAACTACTAGTTTCCCCCATGAATTGTCTCCTCCTGCTCCTTTCCCACAGTCCTCCTTCAGTAGCTGTGTGGCGGGAGCTGTACCATGTGTTGGACAAGGACTCCGGGAGATAACTGAGCTCTCCTCTTCTGTCTGGAATACTATATTACTACGGAAAAGCACACTGCAAGATATGTTATAATTAGAATATGTTTTGCTGCAGTGTAATTAAGGGTAAAATGCTGGTGCTTTGTGGAATAGGGCATTTTATTATTGTGCTTTTCCATATCAGATTCTTATCATTGCCTCAGAGGAAAGGAAATGAGGATGTGGGAGACCATTTAAATAAGAGTCTGCATTATTTTTTGTGAAGACTACTCATGAGTTTGACTTGGGGCAGTCTCTAAAAGATCTTACACTGAAGGAATATAGTATTTCACTTTGTAGTATTGCATGTCCCTTCAGGAAGAGGGCAGACAGCGTTGAGCTGACTCTGTTTTTGGTTGCTTTCTCTAACAAATGCAAATAATTGGGGACTCAAATGTTGAAGGAGCATCAATTTTTTTTTTTTTTGCTGTTGAAATAACAAACAAAAACTGCCATATCTTCCAAGATGCATATAAGCAAATACAAAAATTTCAAAAATATTATTGCTGGTCAGCTGCATTTTGATTCAGATTTCATATTTTGGTGTGGTAAGTCAAAATCAAGTAAACAATAACTCAGAAAGTGTTCTCAGAAAGTGTCCTAATTATGTCTTTTTGTAGAATTCCGTTTTCAAGATGACTTTTTAGTGTGAAAAATACTTTATTTCTATGCTCTCTCTCTTCCCACCCACATTATAATGTTCTACCGAACAGAAGTTATGGTTCCTGATGAGGTTACTATTTTCATATGCAGTACTGAGGAAGATCAGAGGCTTTCATGTCACCTCATATGCTGGTAATGATACCAGCTTCTTAGGCATAACTGGCCACGAGTGAATTTGAGCTTAGGTTTGCAGCAACAGTTGCTCAACAGCATAAGAGTTGGATTATTTGGAACAGCTAGCTCCAGAAACTGCGCTGTAGGTAGGTTCAGTCATTTGCCACTCTGAAAAGTGAAAAATACAGTATTTCTATTCCAGTCTCTCCCACTCCTCATGTCTGGCTGCCTGGTTTTGCAGCTCAGTTATGCTGCTGCATTAGTCCATAAAGCTTTGCTGTAAACCACCAGATTGTTGAAATTTCCACTCTTGACTTTAACAGCGGCAACTTCTCTGCTGTTAGACACCAGAGGCACCCTTAACAGAGGAAGTACTTCTTTAAACTGCATATATATTTTCTGTTTTATACCAACAGGTATTTTTAACAGAATATGTTGGATTATTTTTTTCACAATTAACACTCTATGCCTTAAATTCTCATGAAAATTAACTCCCAGGAGAGTCCATGTCTTGAACTGAGTCAAGAGATATGGCCGACTGCTGCTCCCAGGTATTTTGCATTAAGAAGCAGGTATAGCCGAGGGAGAAGAGGTGTTTCACAGCTAAATGCTGTTCATAAGCCTTTGACTCATTAGTTTGAATGTAACTGTGGTTGTGTTAGAGGTGTTTTAACCAAATGTCCTGCCACACGTGTGTTCAAATTGAAGAAAAGTGTAGAATAGCTTGCTTAGCCTTTGTATGGTTAGATGAATTAGCCAAGAGGTTCACGCACTGGCATATAAAAGACTTGTTAGTAGTATGCTGTGCTTCTTACAGTATCTCATAGGTTGTGATGCAGTTAATTCAGGGCACACATTCCTGTTTCAGCTCTCACTTTGTTGTTGTGAGGGCAGTCTCCTTTTGGTCCCTTAGTTTAAGTCTTCCTTGTAGCTGCAATGCTTGCTGACTATTTCTTTTCCAGGGGTAGGTTACAGGTCATTCCAAGCTTCTCAAAAGGAGCACAATGATTTGGCTGTAGGGTATAAGCTAATGTTTTAATAACTTCACTGGAAGTGGAGATCTAAATCAAGAAACAGAAGGAGAAAGTTAACCCAGCCCTTCATGCTTCCCAATTCATCAACCTAGAGCTGATATGAAAAGAGTTAATTATTTGGAAATCAGTTCAATTCCATGGCTCTATGGCTTTTGCCTTTCTTCTTCTTTGCAGGTGATTTTAACGGGTAGTCTACATTTAGACTTTCTGAAACAAATCAAAACAGGTCCAGTATAATATAGAGAGTCTTTCAGTAGATCGTGGATGGTAATGTCAAAATCTAAAGAATAATAGAATGAACTACTGTAAAGATCTTATTTCAATAAATGTGATTTAATAAATAATATATTAATGTATTTAATTTGCACTAATTGCTGAATGCATTGTTTCTTCTGTAAGTAAAGTAGATATTTCATTTATTTTGTTGGAAACCTTCAAATACAGGCAGGGTTCAGTTCATTGCCTGGGGCATGTTGGATGATTAGTATCTAGATACTGATTGAAAAGTTATACATTAAGTGTCTGTAAAAAAATTCGTTCCTTATTATCCCTGTATATCCCCCTGAATAAATAACGATTGCTGTTACATTCAAAGCTATTGCATTTTCCTGCACGCTGTTCCAAAGCAGATCTTCTGTTGAGGACTGCCTCCCTGCTCCAGGCCGTGTGTTCCTAAATGTGTGTTCCTAAATGTTTTGTGGGTACAGGTGCCCCCTGTAAATGGGGTGAGAATTGGTGAGCTGGGCTGTGTCCTGACCTGCTCCAGGGAAAGTCTCTTGCTCTGCTGAAGAAAACAGACAAGTTACTGGATGCATCCTAGCTCTGGGTGGTTGTCAGCATTCCTGCACTCTACTGTCTGTCTTTTTTCAAACAGTACTCATGGTTTTAAGGTATTCAGCTATTTGGTCTAGGTTTCTGACTGTCTTTGACACCTGAAGATTACAACACACAAACTTCTCAGTGTTGAAAACTCCCAGAATTACTTTCTTTAAATCCTGAAAAGTGCTTGTTCCAGGTAGAAAGTTAGGGCAGTGTCAGCCTCTTTGAAACACACAGATTAATCTATAGATGATCTTTTTATTTAACCTAATAGCATATTCCTGTCCAGACAACCAAGGCTGTTACTTCTTTAAAAACAAATAAATCGTCTGAGTGTGGTGAGCAGTGTTTGGCATATTGAATAGCCAGGGCCTTGTGCATTTGCAGATTTGTTTTCCTGCCTTGTCAAAGAATATTATCTTGCAGACTGTGAAATGTTTTGGCCTTCAAAAGATGAGTTATAAAGCTCACCAGGGGAAAATTGATCCTTATCCTCTCTCTCCACATTGTTTTCCACCTTCCCCAGCTATCATATTTAAGATCCCAGGCCTTGGGCCAGCCCATGTGCAGTTTTTTTTAAACTGACTTAGTCATGGATGTGCTTTCCCTCCTTTTACCTGTTACACTTAATTTATAGCAATAGCATCTGCTGTGTGGAACCACTGCAATAGAATTGTTCCTATCCTTCTGCAGGGGGATTAGCTGCAGAAGCAAAGGACATTGCACTTTCCACAGCCTGGGTGGAAGCTTTAAGTAATGGGTCTAATTAGAGCAGTTTGTCTTCTGTGTTTTGATATGACTATGTTGAAGTGTATTGATGGTTCTCCCCAGTGGCTCGTGAAGGGGCAAGCTTTGCCATGTAACCCTGCAGGTTCAAAAACCTGCTGTGATTGCTATCCCAGGGCAGAGAGGATACCCACTGCATCTGGCTGTGCCTCCTTCAGTCTGGTACCAGAGCATAGTGGTTCTGGTAGGTGCAGCAGCATCTCTCAGCATGCAGTTGAAATGGCCATTCATATTTAAAACATAAAAGATCTTCAAGCTGTATTGTTGTTACTGTCCTTTAGCAGAACAAATCTCAACAAACAGCTTTTGGTATATAGTATATAATTATGAAGCAACAGATGGTGACCTCAGTCTCTTATTATTTTATTCGTGGTTGTTCACAATTCAGCAGTGAGTCTTCACTGAAGCCATGTCCTCTGTTGCAAGTTACACTGTGGAATTCTGCCATGAAGTAAAGGTTTTTCAAGCGGCTGTTTTGCAGGGAGAGGAGAGGTTTTATTGCAAGAGTTGCATGAAGCACTTCAGAAACACTGCAAGTTTTTTTCCATTTCTTTTCTTCCCCTTCCCTTTTTTCCTTGAGTTAATTAAACCACAACAGACAAAAAGGTTTTCTGTAGGCAATACTGTAATACCTTTAGCACAAATCATGATTTCTCTAAGGATGGTTTCACCTTTTACATAGAATTGCCAAGTAAGGGGCTTTTCTTCAGGCTGATGACAGATCACACGGAAGCAGATCACAGTGACAGGCTGGATGCTGCCTTCAACCAGGTACACCTTGCATCCAAACTATTCTAAGGCAAGTTCCATTGTGTCCATGCTCCAGGTGGGTCTCTGGAGGCACATCGGAGCTTGGAGGGGCCGGGAAGGAGCACCTTACAGCACACTGGTGCCATCTGATGGTAAGTTTTCACAGCAAATTTTCCCCCTTCCCATCAGTGTAAACAAGCTTTTTATTTATTTTATGAGAGTCTATGAGGTAACATTAGTTCCATGGTTTTATATATATATATCTTCCAGAAACAGAATTAATATATTAATTTTTAAAAATCTAGAAATGCTTTGTGTAATTTTTTCCTTATTTATCCTATGTTTTAAAAACAGCTTTACATTGAACTACAACCTACAATGCAACTTTTTCACTTAGTTTTCTTTTTTTACCCCCCAGAAGTAACTGTTAATTACAGACATGGTCTTCCTGTGATAACGCTTATGCTGCCCACAAGAAGCGAACGCTGTCAGTTCACTGTCAAGCCGGTAGTGACCACTGTAGGAGCATTCCTGCAGGATGTGCAAAGAGAAGATAAAGGAATTGAGAGAGCTGAAGTCTTTGCAACAGGTATCTTGTATTTCTGTTATTCCCTGAAATAAATGCATTCCTTTTCACATGGACTGTATTTCTTCTGGAGCATAAGTTCAGTCCTCCGTCAGGTTTAGCACTGTTGCTATTGGAATAGCTCGTGAATGCTTCTAGGGCTTATTGTTGTTTCAGAGCTAATAATTTGAGTCCTTTTGAAAAGGCTAATTAAAAATGCAGAATTGGATCTATTACTGTAACTCTCCTTTTATCCCAGTAGTGCCCTCTGTTATCTTTTTCAATTAGTTTCTCTTTGTAATGTTAAATAACGTTAAATAAGTATCTCCTTATTTCCTTGATGTCTCTTTCTTTCCTTGTCCTCCATGGTCATTCTTAAAAGACAGCCTGTTGGACTTCTGAATATGATGCCTGCCAGTTGTTCAGTGTTACCAAGAGCTGAAAGAATCCATTTGCCTTACTACAAGCTTGAGTATAAAAAACTCAAGAGCTAAGCAACCAGATAATGGATGCAATAGTAAAGGACAGTTTTTTAAGACACGGAGATGATTTCATTTATCAGCTGGAGTACAATATTTCAGGGCCTTGCTAGGGTCAAAGAGTAACTGGTATTTTAGGATTAGTGTGGACTTTCCTCCTTGTAATATCCTGTTTATCCAATTGTCCCAAGTTTTCAGATAATTTTCTCAAGTTTGCTCACTGTTCTCTTTGGTTTGCCCATTGATAAAAACTAAAATTGAGTTAACCTTATTCTCCATTTTATTTCTAAGAAAACTTGGTCTTGTATTTTGGCAGTGTTCTTGCAACCCCTGCCCTGGTGCTAGAGAAGGATTCAGTCTTAATTGAATTAATCTTAGTGTTTTTTATCTGAATGTGGTAGAATAGGTGCTTGAAATTGGCTAATTAAAAGCATCTACTTCTCCCCTTCCCCACTCACACCCCTAAATAAAGAAAAATAAAGAAAAATAAAGATACCTCTATATCTGTGGAAAGATTTATTTAACAGCAGGTAACACATAAGTAGAAGAAAGGATGGTATCAATGAAAGCTAGTCTGGTTTAATAGCTGGTGGATTCATAGCATTCTTTTCTTTCTAGTTAATACTACAGAGAGCTGCAGGGGCTTTTAAAGAAACTGATGTTGCCAGAAGGTCAGAAAACCACAGACCTAAGCAAAGTTGCTTTATTTTCCTTTGTGGGCGCATTTAGTAAAATAGGAGAATACCCCACAGAGCAATTTATTGATATCCTCTGGAGCAATGGAGATGTGATCTGTGTGGATCCCAGCATCTGCATGAACTTCAGGAGCTTAATGTACACAGGAACTTTGGTGTTGGGGTTTTTTTGGTCTTGTTTTGCTTTGTTTTGACAGTGTCTGCTAGGGAGCAAAAGTAGAAAGTTCTCTTGAAGATAATTTCATAAAAGACTCTTCATCTTCAGAAGCCACTGGAGGAAATGGTCATTGTGAGCATCTGGCCTTCCCCTTAACACAGAAGTTTTTCCCTACAAAGGATTTCTTAGTGGGAGGAGGCAGAACTTGTGCTGGCAGCAATTATCCTTTGGGTACTGCTGTTGTGCAGACATCCAGGACAGGAGTGTTTGGGATTCACTGCCGGATGGCTTTTGTCTCTGCTACGTCAGCAAAAGCTAGCTAGTCCTGCTTCAGTGCAAACTTGTGTCACTTGTGAAGCTGTGAGGTAACTTAACTTGTGAGGTAACTCCTGTAAGAACCATGCAAGTAGTCTGGCATTTTTGGCATGGACAGGCAGCAGATTTATTTCAAAGTGGAGATGAATTTGAGTTGTTTTCTCATCTGATCTGTTTAAACACACCCTCATCCCCTCTGATTTGGGAATACTTAGATTAAAACAGTGACTCAAAATAGTTATTTGTCAAGTGCCGGGCAATTGTAATGTCATAGAACAGCTGAGATGTTTAATTTATTAGGAAACTGATACTGTAAAGAGAAACTATTGGCCAGGTACTGAGAGATGAACTTAAACATTAAATATTAAAGAAAAACTATGAAGCCTTGATTTAGTGTAGGTGCACTTCTGTGTCATTTAGCCATTAAATGAAACCTAAACTTAACTGAAGTAATCAGTGCTGTGTATGATTACTTGCTTTCATTACCTGTGGATTTGATTTTCATCCTGCAACCCTTTTGTAGACAAAAAATTACCCTTTTTGTTCCACATTGGAGCACTTGTGTTTAGGTACAGGATTGGAATTAGCCTTTGCTTAAAGTCTGTGGGGAATTTTCTAAAATAAAATACCTCCCTTTCCTCAAAATTTTTCGTCTTTTCAGTTAATAAAAGGTAGCACACATTAATCAATCAGTGGTGTATTCAGAATATCCAGAACAAAGAGTCTGTCTGGCACTTCTTTTGAAAAGCATTTTTCTGTTAAATGTTATAGAAAGAGTTCTAAATGTCACCTTAATAATGTGCATGCAAAAGAGACTTGATGTTTTATTATACTGGAAAGGAAAAAAAAAGAAATGAGTGGATGGACACATTAAAATTCTGGATTGAAAGTGATCGATTTGTGGGTTTGCTTTGCTAGCCACACAGTGGCCACAGGTGAGCCAGCTGGGGCATTTGCTTGCAGAGTTCAGTAGTCTGAGCTTCATCAGATGGGGCCTGAGGACAGGGTTCTGGTGAACAAATAATTGAAGACTTGGGATTGTCTGTGGAGCCTTTCTGTAGTGGATGTGTGAGAACAGGTGGAGGAGCTGGGGCAGTAGCACCATGACAAATATCTACAGGCAAACATCTTGGTATTTTGTAGCCTGTTTGGTTATTCATCTTGGGAGTAAAGCTGCCTAGCCCTTGGCAAGGGCAGGGGAAGGTGCTATTTTTGTGTGTAGAAAATGGGAATAATCTCAAACAGCTCCTGTGCAACAGCTGCCCCATGGCTTTTCAAACCCTTATGCCACAGTGATGTGTCCAGCAGCAGTGGTGTGTGGCTCTAGGGGCTCTTGGGCCATCTGAACCCCACTGTGCTCCTCGCAGCCACTGTTACATGTTCCTGCTAATTAATCCAGAGCTCCTTTTTGGTAGGAGCTGTAAAATTGCATGTAAAATTTGTGGGGTACCATTCATGTAAATTTCTGATTTAAAAAAATGAAGTAGAAAAGGGTTCTCCAGTGCATCAAAAGTTCAATCTCATTCCCTGCACAGGACAGCCCCAAGAATCACACCATGTGTTCCTCCTGACTGTTCTCTACGGGCACTCCTCCCAGCAGGATTATCTGCTAATGTTTAAAACTCCTCATGATAAGTGAACTAGAATTGAAATCTTTCTTCTGCAGATGGTAGCAAGGTCTCTGATGCAACCTTGATGGAGGTCTTATTGATGAATGACTTTAAACTTGTTATCAACAACAGAGCATGCAGTGTGTCACCTCCTGTAAAAGGTAAGAGGAATCCTTAATAACTGAATTTCATTCAGTGAAAGAAATGGGAAGTCTCAGAAAACTGGGACCTGGGAGAAAGGTGTTTCTCTTTTGCTTTGTCTTTTTACCATTGGACAGTCCTGCTTTTGCGGTTGGAGGTGGGGAGAGAATGAAGAAGGATGTGTTGAAATGGTTTATACGACAAATATTTTCTTTTCAGATAAAATGAGTAGTGAGCATGCTACTGAAATGGAAGATATCAAATCCTTGGTTCACAGACTGTTTGTGGCTCTACATTTAGAAGATCACCAGATCAGGAAAGAGAGAGAATTGCTACAGAAACTGGACCATCTGAAAGGAGAGCTGCTGCCTCTTGAACAGGTTGGGAAGTGGGGGTACTTTTTTTCTAAACTCAAAAGCATTTCCTTTCATCAGAAGTAAATCCTGTGACAGAAGAAAATCAGCATGAATGGCTAGGGTGTGTCTGTTCTGTTTGTTATGTAAATGAGGTTAACTCAAGTAGAATACAAATTATTTTCAATTCAGTTCTTTTTCTTCCTGTTGTGGACATTAATGGGGTAGAAACCACAACACGTGGAGAAGGCTGTTATGAACATGGCTAGTATTGAGATTGAAAGGCCATTTGTTGAAATGTCATTGAAAGTCACCTGTTGCTTTATGAGGTCTGAATACCTATGACAGCAAAAAACCACAGTAGTGGGGTTGACATCATCCATGGCTTATGATAGTGGACAACAGGACTCCTGCTTTATGAGAGCCAGCCTCAGTGTTACCCAGAACTGCCTTGAATGGTAAATGGAAATCCAATAGACAAAGATCTCCAGTAGTGCAAAGGGGAGATTAAAAGCAGAAATTCTTGGTGCACAATGGCAAGAAGATCTGGTTGCCCTTCGACTTAGTGCTTTTATTTTCTCAGCAGGGTAAGTCAGTAAGAGGTGTAGGTAATCCTGAGAAAGGATTTAGCCCAGGGGAAGAAAGCATAGTTGTGGAGCTGTTCATCAGAGGAGCACTCACGTTTATTTGAACAGGTTTCTGCATTTCTTTTCTTTAGATGAAAGCCAAAATCATGGACAGTGCAGATGCAAAAACCTCCAGGCTTTTATGGGTTGGCCTAGCTCTGATGTCAACTCAGGGGGGAGCGCTGGCATGGCTCACCTGGTGGGTCTACTCGTGGGACATCATGGAGCCAGTCACGTACTTTATCACCTATGGGAGTGCCATGGCTTTCTATGCCTACTTCGTTCTTACCAAGCAGGTCAGTGCTTGTCTTCTAAAGGAATGTCTGGAATATTGGGAAGGAGGAAAACTGAGTCTGTGAATCACAATGTTTGAGCTCTGAGGAAAACAGAATTCAGTAAGTGGCCTTGACTTGTTTGATCTATAATGAGGCTGGATGCAAATATTACATCAAGCAGGTACTGCTGCACATGAACTGCAGGACAGCTACTGAGCATAAGTACTGTCAGAAAGATTTCATAACCTAGGAAATGAAAAGTGAGGAAAGAAATCTCTCCTTTAAAATGTTTGTAGATCACTTTGCAAAGTAAATGACACCTTGCTCACTGCAGTAATGGGAGAGCAACTGGTAGTGCTGTGCCAGTTTGTGAATGCTGCCTTATTTAAAAACAAATAAAAATAGTAGGTTTTATTTGCTGGAGTTTACATATATACAGTGCAGGGTACCAGACTTTTTGGAACTTTTTGTTTGGAAGTCTGGCAGTTGCATTACTGAAATACATTTAGTGCCTGAAAAAACGTTATTGCTCTGCTCATCATAATCTGACTGCTTTTTCATGACTTAGAATGCTTCCAGGTAAATCTAGGACAGCTGAAATGGAGCAGGAAGCAGGCATTGTGTAGAAGCAAAAAGTTTCCTCAGATCTTTACCTAGCTTCACAATACAGATTTGTTCTGAAATCCTGTTAAGACTTTGAGAAATATTCTTTTTCCTGTTTTAGCTCTGTACTTTACTCTGAAAGTGGACATCTTGATGCTGAACTTCCTATGATTGAGCTTCCTTTGAAAGCAGAACTCTTTTTGTTGTGGAAGTATGTGGAAGAATACCAGTACTTTCTTCCGTTATACCAATGGATCTACAGACCTTGTGAGAAATTAGGTTCCTTCAGTAAAAAGGGGAGACATATCTGTTTTTATGAAGAGCTGGCTCAGAATGTGAGTTTTACTCCTTCTGACTGGTTTTTAAGAAGGGCTAAGCCATTCCTACTTTTTGTGAGTAGATAAAGAGATTACTACTTGGCTGTTTTGAACAGCTGCTGGTGCCATTGCTTAAGACTTTCAAATAAGTACTCGAGAAGTAGTTCCTGAATTTTCTCTGACTCCTTGGAAGTAGACTCCATTGACTGAGGTGGCTCCAGTCATGAAGATCACACTGTGTGATCTTTATTATAACTGAAAATTTCTTCAGACGTGATAGAAATGACTCCTATTATGTGTTTAAAAAGCCCTTATGGCCCCTTATGGTAAGAGCATAACTTCATGTAGCCTCTTTACAAAACATACATGGGTGCTGGACAAGGTAAGTCTTCCTGAAACAGGCTGAGTTTCTAATTTGCTGACCTCTATTCAGTTTCCTTACTAACCACAAATCTATGTCCTCCTTCCTTCCCCAGGACTACATTTATCCTCATGCTAAGGACAGGCAGTTCCTCCACTACTTCTACCGCAAATCCAAAAAGCAGCATTTTAATGTGGAACAATACAACAAGCTCAAAAACGACCTAGCAGAGGTATTTAAGTGCAGTCCTTCAATAATGAAGCAGCTTCTGGCTTAAGACTTTTTCAGTAAACTCTTAGCTAACAGAAGATTGACCTCAAGGCATGCTATCAAAACACTGCATTGCTTATCAGCCAGTTTCAGCTGTTCAGATCATCATACAATGTTTGCCTTTGATGTATAAACTACTTCTGTAGGTCATCAGAAAGGGAGACCTTTGTGAATTTAATTTAAAACAAATAAGTCAGTTTATCAGCATGACATCTATTTTTTGCATACTCTAATTAATGTTAACAATACCTGCATTTATTTTGGGCACAGTATGTTTGCTGCACTGCTTTGGTAAACCAATGTCCTTGCAGAGTTCAGCATTTGACATCATAACCTTATTCCTTAAGAATAAAGAATAAGATAAAAGACTTAGATTCACAGAGTATGGGTGATTGAATGGAAAAGGAGGTATATACACCTAGGAGAAATTTGGTAACCTTCATGAAATAATTGCAGCAGATCTCTTACTCCACAATTATTACTCCTCCATCCCATCTTGACAGCCTTGTGTTCAATGTTTCATAAAAGAAAATGTTAACTACCTCTAATTTTAGCTCAAAACCCATAGTTCAGGGTGTAATTTCATGTGCCATAATTGACATAATTTTAGAGGTTGATACTTTTTCAGTGGCCTGGGGGTATGAGTTTTTTAACTGTCATTTCAGGAAAATACTACTTTGGGGTGTGGGTGAAAGGCAGGGTTCATGCTTCTCTCTGGAGATGCATGACTTGAGCAGGTCTGTCAATGTTCAGCATCCTACATTTGATTAGTTTAATTCCTTGCCTAAGATCAGTGCCTTCTAAGAAAAGAAAGACAATGCATGTGTGAAAGAGGAGAAAACAGAGGCTACAGAAGGATGAACTCTCTCTCTTTCCTTGGCAGGTAGAAGAATCCCTACGGCGTCTGCGCCAGCCTCTGCACCTGAGGCTTCCCATCGAGGAAATCAATGACAAGGACTGACTTTGGTTTTGTGTTTTCAAAGCTGATATGGACATTTAGTTACTCCATAGTACCTGGGTATTTTTGACCACTAAAGTTTTAAAAGTTCTAATAAAAAGGTTTAAAAATTATTGGGTTGCTTGATGGTTTGGGTTTGTTTTGCTTGTTTTTATTTCTTTAACCCTATGAAGAAACTGCTGAAACAAAGTTCTTCAAAATATTTGTCAAATCTCATTAGTACAATGGAGGCATTCTTACTGCTGGTAAAATGACAGAACAAACAAGGATAGCCTTTTTAGTACCATTTACTATATAACACAACAGTAGCTCATAGGATAATTAAATTCTGTGTGGAGTAGTAAGGATTATTTTCCTGCAATTACTGCTTCCTTTTCACTGGTCAGTGCATTGCCTCTTCATAACACCACAGGTGAAGTTTAGATTAGCATGACAATTAAGCTTTCTTAGTAAATAGTGCTGGAAAAGTAAGGTATCTCAAACTTGCTATAAAATCATTTATGTTTCACTGTTGCATTTTATTGAAAGAATTTATCAAAACATTCAAACATACATGATTTATACAAAGTATAAAAGTAGGTGTAGTAAGATACAGCATTTATGGAAAGACTTAACTAAAGCAGAGACTGTAAACCAATTTTTTTCCCCCAAGAAAGTGGATTAAGACACTTTGCTCAGTTTGAGTTCTCTGTTGTCCCTCAGAGGAATAACTAATGTAAAAAAAAACCCCAAAATCAAAGAAAATAAGTATTTGCTTCAAGTCAATACCACTGCAATTACTGATGCTGCAGCAGTAAAAATCCTGTGGTGACCATGTACTTTCACTTTTATGTACACAATGACAGAGGTATGGCTGATCTTCTCCAGGGCCAAGAGGAGGCCTGATCCAACTCAAAGGCCTGAAGTCTGGAGGTTTGCATATGTTACATTTCGTAGAGCTGCCTAGAGAGGTCCAGCAGCTTTAGCTTTAGAGATAATGGACAAGGCAACCTCACCCTGAGCAAGTTGCACATAGTCTCGTCTCACTACTGCTGTTTTTCTCCTGAGGATGCAAAGCACCAGGAAGTTGTAATTGTGCCCCAAGCATAAATTACATTCAAGCAAAAGGAAACCCTTTATTAATCAACCCTATTTGATTAATCCTAGATTAATGCTACAGTTGTACTCAAGGAATTAAGTTCCTTTTTAGCGTTGCAAGAAAATTTTTAAAAGCCCAGTAAAGCTACAAAATTGTGGATTCTGCTGTCCACAAAATTTAAAAGATGCCCTACACACTATATTTCCTGTAAACTGTGGTCTTGGGAGCAAGACGAGTTAATCTATTGGAACATTAGAAATGTTTTGGAAACAGTAAAATGTGCCATAGTTAGATGGCAATCAAGCAAGAAGCTTTTAAGAAAAACGTAGCGTGGAGCATCAATTTCAAAAAAGTTTGAGCACCTTCTAATAGTTTGGCAGAAGTCAAGTTTTCCCAAATTCCCTGAGACTAATTCCCTGGTTTAATTATAGCTTTAAAACTGCTTTAAGGTTTTAGAAACTATTAGGTACACAAACTGTCATTTTCGATCATCCCAGTGATTTTGCAGACAATCTTGTAGAAAATTAAGTCTCCTCATGGTATTCTTTACTTCTGCAGCAAGTAATAGTACTGGTCATCACTGCTAAATAATCTACTTAGATTTTGGATGAAAATACAATTTTTTAGTTAACATTGAGGTAAAACAAGAAATCTGTTTTTTCCCTATAGCATTAGTGTTTTTGCACATACCCACTCTGCGATATGATACTTTCCTGTTAACAACAGTAAGAAGTTCTGTGAACTCCAAGGAAGATCCTTGCTTCCTAAGGGTCTCACACAAATCTTGGATGTACCAGGAACCATTTATAATTTCACGATGAGAATAGTAGCCTAGAGTAGAAAAAGAACATAAAATTACATCCAAAAGTAAGTATTGATAACCTCTTGGAAAAAAAATTGTGAGTCACTGTTTGCTAGCTAGCATTTATAATTATAAATTATGGAATTATAATGGGTGTAAATCTTACTTTGCCAATTATGTAATTTTACTGCAAATTGTAGATTGAAAATGGCTTTGATATCACTTGTAGTGCTCAGAAAAGAGGAACATGATTCAGGGATTGGTAGCTTAAAGGGACTGTATATCCACTTCATAAGAGAACAGATGGGACTGAGGACAACATACATGAGGGGACTCGAGAGAACTGCAATGCAGTGAAAGTAAATCTATAAGCTACCAGAATCCTGGAAGAGATAGATGTTTGCTGTCAGGAGGCAGCTCAGCCACAAGACTGACTGATGACGATGCTTTTGTTTGGCAAATTTAATGCACCTTGATAATCTACTTTCATTTTTTCTTTAGCACATAACATTCTTTCCCAGACAAGGTGCTACTTATGAGACATGTAAATCAGATGACCTGGAACTGTTCTCAATTTTTGGACTGCAGAATGAAGAAGTGTTCAGGGTTGTTACAGTGAAGTATCAGACACTAGATGCAAAATATTAGAACTCACCTTGCGCCACAGAGTAGCACATGATAAAGTCCGCAGCAGCAGGCAGAGTATAGACAGCAGCTGCATCCACTTCAGTCTCATTGCCAAGGGATTCACTGCTGCTGTCTGTTGAATCGTGAGCAATGACTGCATCATCATGTTTATCACCTCGACAAGCCTGTTGGTGAGAATTGTTGTTATGCTTGCACCCCTGCCATCTCACTGTTAATAGATAATTCTGACACTAACCAGAGGCACTTCTGTTCAGCTAGGTGTGCCACATTACCATGACTCTGCCTTCAGAAAGACCCATTTATTTCTCTATCACTTAAAATGTTGGGGACAAAGTCCATGAAAAGCTTGAAGATGATCTCAGAATCACTAAGACCGGAAGGGATCTCTTGAGATCATCTAGTCCAACCCCCTGACTCAAGCAGTGTTAGCTACAGCATGTTGTCCAGGACTATGCACAGTCAGCTTTTGAGGATCTTCATAGGTGGAGACTCCACAATCTCTGTGGGTGACCTCTTCCAGTGTTTGACCAACCTCACATTAAAAAAAAAGGAGTGTTTTCTTGTGTAGAGATGAAATTTTGTGTTGCAATTTGTTCCAGTTGCTTCTTAACCCATCCCTTAGGTACCACTGAAGAGAGCCTGTCTCCCTCTTATTCCCTCCCACGAGGTGTTTAGAACATTGGTAAGATTCCCCTGAGCCATCTTCTCCAAGCTGAACAGTCCAGCTCTATCAGCCTCTCCTCATATCAAACGTGCTCCAGAGTCCCTTAATCATCTTTGTGGCCCTTTGCAGGACTCACTCCAGTAAGTCTGTATTTTTTCTTGAACTGGGGAACTCAGGACTGGACACAGTACTTCAGATGCAGCCTCACCAGTGCTGAGTAGAGAGGAAGAACTGCTTTCCTTGCTGGCAAGGCAGTTAATTACTGCTCTGAAGCACAGCCATCATTACATGCTGTTACACTTCTGCTCTTAGTGCAATCTCAAATGTGTTTGTTGAGAGAGGGCTTTTTGTGAGAAGTCAGTAGGGATCCCACTATTTTCAGTGATGCAGAAAGGCTACACATAGAGGATAACAAGGTGAGAACACACTCAAAAGATACAAAGGAGTATTACTTCAGAGCTTCCACTAAAAAAAGAAAACACAAAGAATCTTCTTTACAGTGATAAAGTTTCATCTTGATGTTTCTTCTGATTTCCAGAAGTAAGTGACTTCCAGCCAATTGTGCTGGAAAATAACTCAGCTGATGAACTAAGTTAATTAGCTTTTTGATGAGTATATTTTATAAATTTTCCAAGTATTACTTCGAACTTAAAATTGAAATATGAAAGTATTTTTTCCATCTTTGGCACCAGATTAAAAAAAAAAAGGAAATCTAAATGAGTCCTAATGGAAGGTGAATTAACAATATGCTGCTT